ACTCTTTCCTGCCTATGCAGGGGGTCGGACTCAATGATCTGTTGAGGTCCCTTCTGACCCTAACATCTATGAATCTATGAATCTACGAATGAGATCTGGTGGGACTTCACCTGGCTGCCTTCCCTGCTGGGCTCGGCCCCAGCCTACTGCACCCCCTACCATGTGGCAAGCACCCCAAAGGTGCTCTGCCACAATTAGTTTACAATGTATGAGCATGTGTAGACAAAACAGGGGCCCTAAATTGAAGTGGTGGGCTGTGTTAGGGTAGCTTGTCATATTTTATGCTTTAAAGTTGCACCTATTTATAGAGTAGTGAATTGTAGCATTGTTTAAAGTTTTCTTTTAACTTCAGCCTAAAGTTCTGTATAGCCTCATTGTTATCTGAACTTTTCATTTTGCTGATATTTGCAATATCACCTGGCCTTGTTTCTTGCAAGCAGCTTATAGCCTTGAGTATGCTTGCATGATCTTTCTTTCCTTTTTCTATCACTGTAAGAAGTTTTTCTAACACAACATAGTACTAGTTTTGTTACTAGCTCAGATTAATTGAATTTAGCACTAACCAGCTGAATCTGAGGGATTAAATGATTGGACATGTTAATGAAAGGTAATAAAAGAGACCAATGAACAATACTTAAAGTAAGACACCAAAAAAGGCCAAATTAAGAGGTATAGGCAGACAAGATTCCTTGGGTGAATTTGATATCTTTTATTAGACCAACCCAAATGGTTGGAGAATAGTTATTAAGCAAGCTTTTGGGTTCAAAAACCCTTCGTCAGGCTTGTAATAGGGCTGTTGAACAAAGGAAAATGCTGTTAGGATAAAATATGAACAATATGCTGACTGCAGAAAAACCAATCCAAAAGCAAGGAGTCATCAAAGGAGTCAAGTTAAAGAAAAGCATAAAAGGAGGAAGCAAAAAAGTTAAGTGTGTCATCGTCATCATCATTTACATCATAAATCAAGCTTCCAACACCTGTCTGGATCATCCCAGCCAAAGATGCAACCTTTGCTTTAGGAACTGAGTAGCCATCTTTTCTGTGAATCAAAGTAACATCTCAGATTAGGTGAAATCATTGTACTAAGTGTTTTTTCTCTCTCTGAATATAAAAACTGCTAAAATAATACTTGTTGTACTAATAAAGTTAAACTTTAATTTTAGGACACTGAGTTGTCTGTGTTCATATGTCACATTCCATTTAAGGGTTAATTGTGCTTTAACAATCCCTAAACGCTATCTGCCAATCACTGGTGCAACCAGGCCATGTGTAGACAAAATGATAGGAGTGTGTGCCCGACACTTTAAAGCGGGCTAAACGCTTTTGCACCACTTTAATGGTGTCAGCGTTTGCACGCCTCAGCGATGTATTAGACATTAATTCCAGCCGCTGTAGGAAATTAGGTGGCTTAATATTAAATGACTTGGGGTGCAGCAAACTAAAACTCCTTCGAGGATACTAGAAATACTAGAGTAGAGAGTAGATAGGACAGCAGATAGAAGATAAACTTTAGATAGATAGAGACAGTGGAAGAGAGTAGACAGAATAAGTAGTTTTTAGTGATGATAGGTAAGGAAGAGCTCGGGCCCCAGATCGCTCTGCTCACTAAACCCCTTCGTGGAGTGTAGTTTGCTGGTCCTACAGCTGTGGAGCGAAGCACCAGGGTCTGTGCAGCTCCACGGCTCTGCAGGAAGCCCTGCAGGCAGCCTGACAGCAGCCCGGGAAAGCAGGCTTTGCCCAAGAAAAGCAGCTGGCCTGATCTTTTTGTCGCCTCCCCCCTGAAGATTGCCTGCCTGCTTGCCTGAGCTGCACGGGGGCCGGTGTTTCCCTCTGCAGCTGCAGTGCCCCCTAGGACTGCTGGAGCCAGGTGCCTGCGGGCAGGTGCTGCTTGGGGTGGGGCGGCTGCTGCCAGAAAGAGAAGCATCAGCCCCACCCCAGCCCAGAGACTGCTCTGCTCACTAGCAGCTCGCCCTCCCCTCCCCACAACAGAGGCAGGTAAGTCATAAGTGCCTGACAGTGACAGCAGCATCTCTATTGTGGCAACAGAGAAGGATACAATTGACTTCGTAGGTCATTATAATTTACCTGATTCCTTCTAAACTCTTTATTCCACAAGTGTTAACCAGCCTCTCTCCTTTTTAGTTGTGTTCCATTAATCAAGCTAGCCTTTTCTGCGGTTCTGCTGTTAGCTGCTCCTCATAATGTAACTCCTATTTTGCAGTCCTGAAGACCATTTTTAATTCTAACTAAAAACTTTATCTCAGGATGGAAACATTACCTCAGGTAAACAGTCACTAAGGTGTGGATATAACTTTAAGTGAGGCATTGGATGAACTGCCAAGATGCTCAAGAAGGCTTGATTCTGTTTTATGAATCTGAAGGAGAGGTGTACGTTTAAATGACTACCTGACTAATGAAACAACAGCTTTTGATTGTTTTTTGCCTAGTTTGTGATGTTTGTCATATGTAATATATAACATAGCACATTAATTCATGTCCCAATCAAGTTATATCTGTTTTTGCTTCACTCTTAAACTGAATAATATAGCCCCAGGTGCCTGGCATATTAGTAAAGCTTCCTTTTTGTTTTTTATCTGAAGAAAAATGTGTTGTGTTACATGTGATGATGCCCCTCACCATCTGTCCCCCCTTTTAAAGTCCTACCTCTGCCCAGAAGAGCTGGCAGGATGGGCTTAAGAGGCCCCACAGCAGGCTGGCCCCTGCCACACTGTACAGGGCAGGGGCTCAGACTGCCCTTCCTGCGGATGGCTTGTATCATGGGTGTGTTTCAGGCCTTGCAACCCACTAGGCCCATTCTCTCCTAATCCCACAAACCTCTGTTCTGGCCAAGTCCTCACAATTCATGAGCCCAGCAACTGTGGGGAGCTCTGGAGTGTGCTGAATGGGCCAGCCCCCCCTCGGCAGAGCAGCATTGGGTGGGGGTGTTCTTTGCTGTGGGGGATTCGTCTTCTATCTGCCTGGGGGCTGCTGAGCATGTTTAAACCACCTCCTCCAGATCCTTGTCTAGGGGAGTTCAGACAGGACTGATCCTGCCCTGAGCAGGGGCTAGACTAGATGAGCCCTCCTGAAAGCCCTGCCAGCCCAGCTCTGCTAAGACTCTCCGATCTGCATGGGGTCCTACCCCAGCCTGCTGCAGACCCTGAAACTCTGTCATGACTCCTTGTGCCCATCCGAGCCTTCAGCTAGTGTCTGGCTGTGGAAAGGAGAAGGCCCCAATTGATGTTAATGGTTTGGGGGCAGAATCAGATTGTGCTTGGACACCTGAGGCCCAGTGAGAGGCAGGTGGGGAAGCAGGATGTGGCCCAGGGTCCCAACTGTTATATATAGGGCCTGACACAAACTGCTTTGTGATGTAGCTCCTGTGTCACTCCATTGCCACGGAGACTAGGGATGGGCAGGGAATAAATCCTAGCCCCCGGTCCTTGCTGGTCAGTCTCAGCGCAACCTGAGACTCAGAAGGGCTCAGACTCGGGAGAGGTTTTGCTTGTTCGAAAGAACTAGAGTTAAGAGATTAGATCAAATTAGATTAGATAGATTAGATACAGAAATACTAGAGTAGAGAGAAGATAAACCTTAGGTAGATAGAGTAGATAGAATAAGTAGATTTTAGCGATGATAGGTAAGGAAGAGCTCGGGCCCCCAGGGCCTCGTGGTCTCAGCACTTGGCAGCTGGCTCCTATCTCGCTCCCATTTGTAACCAGCTGCTCTGGCCGGAACGGCAGAAAGAGACGGCCGAGAGACTGCCCAGTGCAGGTAAGGGGCCAGCAACACCTGGGAGTTTTACAAGGAGGTGTGAGGCTGGCATGGGAGCTCCTGGTGCTCCAGCCTCCTGCTGGCATGGGAGTACCCTTTGCTTGTGCTGCTGGCTGGGGCTGCTCTTTCCCCCCTGCCCACGCTCTTAGCTCTTAGGCCCAAGCCCTCTGGCCCAGCTGAGTAGCCTTGACATCATTAGGGCAGGAACTAGCGGGGGCATGAGGCCTCCTGAGCTCTGTGACTGCGGCTGTGGTCTATTGTTGGGGCTTGAGCTGCCAGAGTCCTCTTCAGGGTCCTCTGCATACCCAGGCATGGGCTAAGCAGAGCTGTCCTGGTAGCAGTGATGCTGTTGGCTCTTGCCAGGTCTACTGGGGCTGCCTCTTGGTGAAGGTCGGGGTGGGAGCTCTGGGAGCTGAGCACTGAGTCAGCGTAGGCTTGGAAGGGCCTGAAATGTTTCCTGTGGGTGCTGGGAGTGGCTCACAGGCTCCTGGGGTGAAGGGATGCCAAGGGGGCTTCTGCTGAGCAGCTGTTCTCCTCCTCCAGCTGCCCCAGCTGCAGATACAGGGAGTATCTGGGATGCAGCTGGCCCCACAGCCTCCTCCTGGCAGACCAATGCTGGCCAACAGACCAGTCTGGGTGCGGGCCCCACTCCTGCTGCACCCACTGTGCCAACAGGAAGAGGAGGAAGACGTCAAGACCAGGGATCTGTCCAAGGGCAAGAGTCAGGTGAGTGACTACGAGGTGCCGGCAGAGCCATGCCCTGTGCCTTGGACAGGGCAGTGATATCTTGCTGAGCCCTCCCTGCCCCCTGACCCAGCACGCCCCCCCAGCCAGAACCTCGGCCTAAAGTTCTGGGAGGAGACAGCGCCCTGTGCCCTGCCATGTATGAACACCTGCCCTGGTCATGGGGACCAATTCCAGTCCCAGCTCAGTCTTTCCTGTGCCCTGCCCTGGCTGAGCAGTCTGAAATCTTCTCCCCAAAGAGCTCTGCATCCCCAGGTGCTCTGAGACGCTAGGCTGGGACTCCTCTGGTTCCTGCCTCTGAGTATCTCTGAGTGCTAGGACCTCTGGTATCTGTCAGATAGAGAAAGGGAAACTGATACATGGACTATAGAGGGCTTTGCCCACAGGATCCAGGTTTGTGTAGACGTGTATGCTTGGGAGGCAGTAGCATAGGCATGTCCATGTGCCCTGGGGAGGCATTTAGCAGTGCCGACATGTTCATCAGGTGGGATGTGTGTGTCTAGTGCGGTGGAGCGTGTACATCTATGTGTGAGCTCATTCTGGTGGATGGTCTGTGTGTGTGCATGCGTGTGAGGCCGTGTCCCTAGTACGTACTCACTGCTCCCTGAACTGACTCCCCCATTCTTCCCTTCTACAGCTGCTCCACCCTGAAACCCTCCGGCACAGACAGAAGCTGCCCAAATTGGCCGTGCAGGGAGTGGTAGGTTCCCCAGCCTGCAGTACCCCAGGGCAGGGGTGGGCAGAATCTGGGGGCCTGGGCACCAGGTGGGGCCCGTGCCAAGCTCCCTCCCTTAGGGGTCCCACAGATGTGTGATGTCAGGCCCTCAGTGTCCAGGGGAGGGCACTGCTGGGACAGTGACTGTCCCATCTCCTTCTCTTCTAGGGCCTGGACAAAAGTCCTCAGGGCAGTGTCAAGGTGGAGTCTCCATGGAAAAGAGCCTTGGCTCAGAGGGACCCAGCACCCTGCACATCCCAGCAAGGCCTAGGAAGATCAAGAGACTGGCCACGTCCTGGACTGAAGCCCTTTGAGCCCCAAGTAATACTTGCTTTCCCAGCCGCTGATAAACTTCTGGTGGCCTGTGCCCCATGCCCTGGGGCAGTGTGTGTGCTGTGCATGTTTGTGTGGAGGACAGCAGTGCCTGTACATGTGTATATGTGCCAGTGAGCCTGTGCTGGGGACTATCATGTGTGCATGCAAGCATGTGGGCCCATGTCCCCTGTATTGACTCCCTCATCCTTCCCCCCCCCAACAGGATCCCATCCTCAAGAGGGCAGAGCCAACAATAACCGCTAATATGTCCGTGAGGGGAATGGTAGGTCCACCAGCCGGCCATGCCCCTGGGGCTGGGGTGAACTGTATTCAGGAACTGGGGGTGCCCAGACAGACTCCCTCCTTTACGGGCTGACACATGGGGGGCTCAGACCCTCAGTGTCCATGGAGGGCACTGATGGTATAGTGATTATTCCCTCTCCTTCTCTCCTAGGGCTTCAACAGTAGCCCACAGAGCAGGCTCAAAGTGGAGGCTCCACCAAAGAGAGCTGTGGCACAGAGGGACACAGCACCCTGCACACTTAAGCAGGGTCTGGGAAGACCGAGAGACTGGCCACGTCCTGGGCTGAAGCCCTTTCTGCCCCAAGTAATACTTGCTGCCCTAGCCCCAACAACCTTCTGGTGGCCTGTACCCCCATGTGCTGGGGCAGCACATGTGCTGTGCATGTCTGTGTGGGGGACAGCAGTGCATGTATATGCGTATATGTGCCTGTGAGACTATTCTGATGGCTACCATGTGTGTGCAAGCATGTGGGTCCATGTCCCATGTATTGACTCCCTCATCCTTCCCTGTAACAGGATTTCATCCTCGAGAGGGCAAGGCCAAGAACAACCCCTAATATGTCCATCAAAGGAATAGTAAGTCCGCCAGCCGGCCATGCCCCTGGGGCTAGGGTGGACCGTATTGAGGGACTGGGGGTGCCAGAGGTGGAGACCTGTGAGGCTCCGTGCCCTAGGGAGGTCCAGCGGCACGAAGGGCTCAGACCTTTGTGTCCAGGGCAGGGCACAGGTGCGGTGACTGTCCCCTCTCACCTGGTCCATCTTAGAGCCTGTCATAAAAGCCTGCACAGCCAGCAGAGGACATGGGCACGTGACCCGGCAGCATTGTGACACGGCAAACCTGAAGGAGTAAGGGGAGAGCATGGTATCTGAAATAAACTTATGTCATTATATGAAGTGTTCATACATTGATTTCAGTGTCCGTATGTACCATGACATTTCGCAGTAGACTACAGAAGGGATTCATGTAGTCTTGTCGTGTCTATGCTCCCAGTCTGCAGGGTAGTGATGAGGAGAACAGCTTCTATCAACAGCTGGAAGAACTGATCAGCAGGATTGCAGGGAAGGAACCCATCCTAGTACTTGGAGACTCCTGTGCAAGAGTTGGGTCCAATTCTGAGATCTGGCTTGGGATTCCGGGTGGGCATGGCATTGGACGTATGAATGGCAATGGTCAGAGAGTTCTTGAGCTCTGTGCCAGTTAAAGCTTATCAGTGGCCAACACCTTCTTTGCTGGTAACATCATAAGAAGAATGTTGTGGCTGGTTCAGAGGGTGGGGAATAGGGTGGGGGCCTTTCCCTTCTAGAGGGCACCAGCAATGATCTGACTCAGGCAGAGGCAGTAGCTGATTGCAGGGCAAGAAAAGGGCAGTGGGGCCTTTTGGCACCCTGGGCTATTGGTGGAGCAGCTTCCCCATCCTGTAGATACAAGGTGCCCTCTCCTCTCTCTCCCGTGAAGCAAGTTCCAGTTTTGCTGAGCACATTTCCTAAGTTGGATCCACCTGCAGGAAATGAGCTGCCCCCTTGCACTACATGAGGAGATTTTTCTAAATGCCTGTGGGTTGGGGAGGGTCAGTGAGACCTTCGTGAGCATGCGAGATAGGGGAATGGTGGTGGCTGGTGGCCCCATGATGGGAAACGGTAAACTCTATCCTAGCAGCCTGGTTTGAGAGTGTGCGGCAGCTAGGCCCAGAAGGGAGTGTTGTGAGGAAAGTCTGTGAAGAGGGCAAGGGCTGGTTGACTGTCATGGACTGTCCTTTTGCAAACGCTGACTGAGCAGGGCTGGATGAGCCCTGGGTTTTGATGGCAGAGGGGTAACTAATCTTTCCAGTGTCCCAGGAACTGAAGCAGGTTGGAAAGAAATGATAATGACTTCTCTCTCAGCCAGAGAAACTTGCAACCTGTTCTGAGTGCCTGCTGGGAAAAGAAACAACACAATTGCGGTGGATCCACTGGGAGGCTCCAGAAAGTGTGGATTCATTGCGTGCTAACCTGATTCAGAATATGAGGAGTTTAAAGGATGGTGAAGCTGCTAGCAGCTTATTTGTCACTGAGAAGCAATTGGGGTGTGTGTGAGAGTATGTAGTGGTTTGTTATTGTGGTAAAAAGGCTGCCCCGTTGCGTGGCAACTAGCTCCAGGCTAGTCTGCTCCAGGCTGGTCTGAATGTCCAGGTTCGCGAAAGTGTGCCCTGCCCAAGAGAGACATGGCCTGAGTGTGGCTCCCAGCATCTCTCATGCCTAGGGCTGCAGCTTCCCTGTCCCCTGGGAAACCCCTGAGCCCCTGGAGGGGCCCCTGGTACTGCCAGCCCCACACTCAATTTACATGTTGCTCCACTCAGAGCCGGCTCCTCTGGCCAGACTGGAGCTGAGGCCTGAGGCACTTGTGTGCCTGGTGCAGCCAAGGGAAGGCTCCCAGCTCAGCACAGGGAGCACACCTGCCTCCAGCACCCATGGCCTCTGGCTGTCAGCTCCCCAAGTGATCAGCCAGGAGCACTCGGCTCTTGGGGTCCTGCATTTCTCACCCTGTTCTGTGCCCGGAGGCCCCCACCGCAGCACAGTCCTCCTCCGCTCTGGTAGGAGAGGGAAGCAGAGCCCCCCAGCAGTAGCATTTCAGGACGATGCCACTGCCCTCAGCCTGCTCCCACTCTGTCCAGCACTGCGGGATGGCCGGCTTCTGTGCAGGCCGGAAACGGACCATATCAGCCAAGGGAGTCCAGCTAGGCTCAGAGACAGACAGACCCAGCTTTGCAGACGGACAGGCAAAGTATGTGCTGTGGGGCAGGTTTCCCTCAGTTGTCCGGCAGGGATCAGGGTGGTGGGGTCTGCTGACTCTCAGGTGGGGCCGGGTCTGCATCCAGGGTGCAGGGAGTTGTCTGGGGTGGGGTGGGGACAGGTCAGCTAGTGGGCTGGTTTGAGGAGCTGCTCTGTGGCTGTAGGTGCCCAAACAAAGGTGAGGCACTGGCTTTGCCGGACTGAGCCCCTGTGCCAGTCTGTGCAGTGATGGTGACCTCACGTGTGGATAGCGTCTTCTTCCTCACCTGGCACTGGTAGGTGGCTGTGTTTGACACTTGCATGTTCGCCAGCTGGATGGAGGTGCTGTGCTGGCTCAGGTCCCGTATGAAGGGCTCCCTGTGCTTCAGGCCCATGGTGCCCATGCAGCTCACCTGCTGGTGGCAGTAAATCGGGAACAGCAGAGAGGAGCCGCTGCCCTCAGTGACCATGGGAGGGGACACCCAGGGACTGGATGCTGCCCCCACGGAGGATGCAACCCTGGAGCAGGAGAACTAGGCCTGTGGAGCACAGGCTGCTGGGAGCTGTGTTTGCAGACTACACTGAGTGGGGAACACTGGCAACCCTGCTCCGGGCGGGGGCTGACTAGGCACAGTGGAGGCCAGCAGGGTGTGATGAGGAATGGGGTGTGATGTGCACAGCCAGGGCAAGAAGGGAGAAGTGGGGGGCAGAGTCCTGCAGGCAGGGAGTCTGAGCAAGCTCCTCGGTGGGCTGTGCCCGGCTGGCAGTGAGGGGCCAGCACTGAGGAGGGGCTCAGGCTGAGTCTGTATCTCCCTGGGAAGCAGTTGCTGAGGTGGGGAGGGAACCCGGGAACCCAAATCTGGCTGCAGAGAGGATGCAGGCTGGGGTGCGTGCTGGGTTCGCTGACGGGAAGGGTAAGCTGGCACTCGCCATGCTGTCTGGGCATGCTGGGTCTGGCCTAAGCTGGATTCACTTGGTGCCTTGACCAGTGGGGCCATTGACCTCAGGCTTGAGGGTGTAGGGGTAGCCCAGCTTGGTACAGCCCCCCTTGGCCAGGTACAGCCCCTCAAATTGATCTGCACGAGCACTGTGCGGGCTGGCAGAGGGATAGACCACTGCCATACTGAGCAGGACAGACAGACTAGTCTGGGCAGCCTGCGCGAAGGGTGACAGGATACTGCTGGACTGGAGCCCCAGGTGCAGACCTCTGCCCAGGGCCGGCCCATCCTATCCTGCAGAACTGGGGCCCACAGGGGGCCCCACAGGCAAGTGCCCAGTGTAGCTGCCCACTGGCTGGTTCCCCTGCCAATCCCACAGTAAGACACAGGAGCCCTGCTACAGCCATGAGTAAAGTCCTTCACCCCACACAGGAAGCCAGGTCCCCATGGCCAGACCCAAGGCGGCAGCATAAATTCCACTATTCTGAGCTTCATGGAGCGGCTTCAGGCCACTCCCCTGTCACAGCCTGGATGTACAGGACGCTGAAGATGCTCCCCCAAGGAAAAGCCCCAGAGGGCACAGACCTGGCTCCAGAGCCCCATCCCTGTGCCATGCACCACCCAGGACTGCACCATCAAGCCATGTCCTTCAGCCCCTGCCAGCCCTGGAGAGTGATGGGCTGGCCATGAGAGCAGGGGCTGCCTGAGCTCCCAGTCCACACTGCCAACTGGGCCCTGGATGGGCCAAAGTTCCCACTTGGGGCACTGGGCACAGACCAAGCTTGGTGTCTCCAGTTGTGGTTGGGTGTGACAAAGCAGCTCCAGCGGCACTGTCTCTGGTCACCTGATTATTACCTCTCCTTGGGACACCTGCTGCTCTGCTTGCTGAGCTGTGCTGGGAGCCCTGCTGAGCATTAAGCATCAGTGGGCTGCACTCGTGCCAGGCATGTCTTCTTCAGTGATTGATTTACCCAACAGTAGCTCTGGATGGATGGCTGGGGGGGGGTCTGGTGTAGAAGTGAAGAGGCTCTGGAGTGGAGCCCCTGCCAATCTACAACCCTGGCAGCTGCCCCGTTGTGTGGCAACTAGCTCCAGGCTTGCTCTGGGTGGCAGCTGCTACCATCTCACCATGAGGCTGCTTTGAGGCACCAACAGTTTTGGAGCCCTGAGCTCAGCAGTGAGCTGGCCAGCCTGTGCCCTGAACCCCCAGCAGCAAAGCTGGCCCACATCTGGCTCTGCCCTGCCGTCCCCTCCTAACCCCAGAGCTGGATAGCCTCCTACCGTGCCCTGGTCCTCCCCCACCAGAAGCTTGCCAACCCCGTGCCCTGAGCCCTCCAGCAAATCACCCTGCAGCCAGGCAAAGCCCCCAGGCCAGACCAGCTCAGCCACAAAGCACAGCTTGCACCACTGGTCTCCTAAGACCACCAGGTCCATCTTGTTCACCACTTCCAAGTGAGCTGCAGGTGCTCCTCCATCTTACTCAGGGCAAGGACAGAAGACTGGAGGTGTTGAAGAAGAGGTTGGACATGGTTGGCTTGGGGATGGTCTAGGTGTAGCAATGCCTACATGTGTCAGGGTGTTTTTAAGCCTCCCTCAGAGGCACAATTGTAGGAAAATGGGGATGGAAGGAACTTCCAGAGGTCAGCTAGTCCAACAACCTGCAGAGCCATATCCTCTGTTTTAACCATCCCAGAGAAAGGTTTGCCTAACTTGCTGTTAAGAAGTTCTAGTGATAGAGACTCCACAGCCTCTCCAGGTTATCTGTTGCATTACTTGACCTCTCTCAAGTTATAAAATTCTTCCTAATATCTTAACTAAAACATCCCTGGTTGCAATTTAAGAACATTTATTCTTGCCCTGTCCCCGTAGCCACAGAGAGCCACGTATTACAATTCTCTTTATTTGGAGAGTCTTCAAATCCCTGTCCAGTCTTTTCTGCTCCAGGCTAAATTACCTCAGTACTTCCATCCTTTCCTTGTAAGTCATGTATTTTAAACCTTTAATCTTTGTTGTTGGTTTTCACTGGACACAAAGAATTGACATCTTAGTAGGATCCAGGCTACAACACAGGGCAAAGTAGAATGGTATTTCATGAATGAGACACATCATAAAACTGCTTATGTGCCACTGAGGC